GCACATGGGGAAAACATTTTATTTTTATCAAATCCCACATTCTCACACATTATCATTACAGGCCAGTGATCACTATTACTCATTTTTAAAGTTTCTCCTCTTGTTTCTCCTATGTTTGTAAACGTTAAATCAATGTTTCTGTTCGAACGTTTTGACAAGTGCAATATCGATGGAATGTAACAAAGATTATTTTTCTCCGCCCATTCTTTTATGGATGCGTTAAAACCACCAGTAATTATTGTATTTTCAATGATGTATGGCTCTAACTCTTCTAACAACCTAGTCTGACCTACCGGCCAATAAATAGCGATTATTCTAATTTTCTCAGAAAACTCGTTAACATCAACAACAACTGTGTTTTCAACATTAAAATCTATTCTTGAGCCTATTAAATGTTTTCCTATTGCTACACGTACACCTCCACTTTTATTTGTTCCATGTTGGTGGAAAATATTGAAATGAGGTATTCGAGATGTATTCCATAACTCGCCAACTTTGGTAAAAACTGATCGGATTCATTGTTCGGAGTATTATTAGACGCTTTTGATGATTGTTCAGATGGAGCGAGTCGTGGTGGTGGAGATGTACTGCGTTTTCGTCGAGTTGTATAATCCGATTTTAGATGAGATAGTAGTACTTCCAAATTATTGAAGATTTTTTGTAATTGCGATTGTTTTTCTCTTAATCCGGCAACATTGTGATTCATCATCGGCCAAATAAAATCACCAACTATCGATACGAGTGTAGGCATTAATTTTATCAGCGTTTCATGATGTAGTTCCGTATCGAGAGCTGTTTGATCAATCTTGTCATTGATAGGATTTAATTTTTCATTCATACAATGAGTATTATCCTTCATATCTACTGTCCGTTTCAAAGTATAGTGTGAGCCACTGTTTTTTAAATAACTCAAGATCACAACGAGCTAGAGACCTGCGGTTTTCACCAATCGATAGATGAGGCACGGGAGAGTCTTCTCCTCAGATAATGTGTCAGGCAAAATCCTTTTAAAACTACTCATCCTTAGCAAACATGGAAAAGAATGCATGAAAATGATCTGCCAGTCACATGAAATTTTGATTTTGACCTTTGATTTAGATAGAGGAACTTGAGATCTATAGATTAAGATACAATGGATTTTCTTACTTTTCCTTACGTTTTCATCGAAATGTCCAGCTATTATGATAAAAATGCAAAAACATAGTAAAAAATCAGCAAAATTCCCTATTATTTGCGCATGTAAATACATGGTTCCATTTGATCAACGCTAGAATGCAATAAGAAAAGTATTTACATTGTATCTTGAACTGTAAATTTCAAGTCCTTCTATCTAAATCAAGGGTCAAACTGAAAATTTCATCTGATGGCAGGTTATTTTCATGCATTCTTTTCCATGTTTTCCAAAGATGAGTAGTTTTAAAAGGATTTCGCCTGATACATTATCTGAGAAAAAGACCTTTCCCCCTGTCTCATCTATCGATTGGTGAAAATCGCAGGTCTCTAGCTCGTCGTGTTTTTGAGTTATTTAAAAAACAGTGGCGCGCACTATATTTTGAAACTGATAATAGAATGTTTTGATTTATCGAGAACAACATTTTTGTTGTATCTTCACTTCCATTCATATCACTTGTTACTGATGGTTGTGCTGAAACTAGTTTCTATAGAGTAATACGAGACGTAAGCGATGGTAGTGGGGAAAATTCATTTTGCTTCATCTAAAATTGCATCGGCTGAGCACCATCTTGAGATACTAATCGATGTAATTTGCCTGTTGATATTGCGTTATTAACTTGTTTTTTTAATTTGAATCGATATTCTGCGATCTTTTCACATTCATTAGATAACGAATGATGGTGACCATCACATTGAGCACAATGAACCATATTCGAACAAATATGTGTATGACCATCAATAAGATTATTAAGAGAGATACGACAACGAGGGTGTATCAGATCACATTTATCTCTTATATGACCTAAACGTCAACATCGAGTACAGTATGTCATTTAATTTCCGGCGAGGAAGGGAGTAATAGTACAGAATGTATTTCCAATCGATATTCGACCTAATTTTAGTGTTGAATTATATTCACATAAATCTTTAGCAATAAATCGAAAGTCATTTGCTCTTCATTGAAAATGACACTGAATACGTCAAACATTTTCGGCTGATTGAACCATATATTCGTCATTGTACTGGAGGGGTACATAACGAACAACAAGAGCAAAGGAATCGAGAATAAATTTCGGTTTAATTACGGTAATATTAATATTATTGATTTGTGACGGCCATTTATCAGTAGATATTAATGTTGCGTACGACTCTTTGTTGTTTACTCATAATTTTAATTTATTGCCTGCATGACCGATGAGAGAGAACATAATCGAGATTCCTTGTTGTTTAAAATGTTCTTCTATTATACTTGCTGCTGCTACATAGGATGGTCGGTTCTTCGAGTTATCAACTTGATCATATTCAATTAACGGAAGACGACGTTGTTGCTGATCGGATGCTTATTGCTGGGGTTAATCTAGTACAGGATTCCTATTTAGTAAATGTGCGGAGTTTGGAGCCATTGACAGATTCATTTGACTAGTATTTTTTTGTTTTTCGTTCGAAAAAATACGTTGTTGTTCTGATATTTGTGCACCATCATTATCACTTGAATCTAAGTTTCGTTTAGGTGTTTGAGGTGTTGCTGAACACAGAGTGCAACATTGGGATTTTGACGGATGTACGCGATCATTTCTTCCAAATTGTAGTTGCTTGTTGTGTTGATATTTCCAGCGGTCGTTCATTGATTAGTTTTTGTCATGGCGTTGATAGATGAATTGTTTAGCTGCAATTTTGTTAATGAACTTTTCTTATTAGAACGATAATTACCATTGATTCCTTTCCTCATTCAAGTAAGAGGCGAAGGAGGATGATGACGACGAGAATAGAATGTAAGTAAGCGCTTATATGTCTGCTCTCGAGAGAGGAAAGGATGAAAGTGGTAAGGTTAGAAATGCAAAATAAATTCTTTCTTAACTGGTTTTCAATGTACAAATGTTATTTAATTCTTCAGGTGTTTCTTCCAGTTTCTTACGTAAATGAATTGGACTATAACATATCTAAAGCAAACAATATTCTGTCAAATACTTGTACCAAAAAAAAATACCTTACTATG